AAGGGTTGCCGTCAGTGAATCTTTAAAGAAACATTTAAAGACATCATTTTTTTGTCAGTAGATTCATGTTCAGTACAAAGTTATGTAAATGACTATGTATCCTTCTATGTATTTTGCGAATTGCATTGTGTATATTATTTTATTATGCATGTGTATGTGCTCATTTCCTAACGATGTGTAAGCGTGCGCGTGTGATAAGCAAGTAGATGTGTGTGTGTGTGTGTGTGTGTGTGTGTGTGTGTGTGTGATTGTGTGTGTGTGTGTGTGTGTGTGTGCGCGTGTGTGTTTGCGTGCATGTGTGTGTGCACACGTGTACGTGTAATGTGTGCGTGAGTGTGTGTGTGTGTTTGTGTTTGTATGTGTGTGTGTATCAGTGCGTGTGTGTGTGTATGTGTGTGTGTATGCGTGTGTGTGTCGCGTGCGTAAATATTGTTCGTACATGCATTTACGTAAAGCGCCTGGAGCTGTGTTTACACGAGAGAGGGCGCTATAGAAATGATCTTCATTATTATTAATATTATTGTCTCACAAGCTATGGGAGTAGGGTTCCTTATTGGGAAAGGCTACTTTTTCTATTGTCTATACTTTCTGTTGAAACGATGCCTCCCACTCAAACCGAGTTGGCACCAAAGGGAATGGTTTAAATCGCCCGACCCTATATGGTCAAAATTGTGTCAATGGGGTATAATATACTTTTAAAATAACGATCACACGTGTGTATTAAAATTGATATTGCAAATCGTATTATTTCGTTCAAATAACGCACCCAATAATTCAGCTCATGGTTTCGAACTTAAATGCAGACTGGATTATTCTGGAGTCTTCATTGAAAAATGTTTTCCCATTGTGCACCTTGTATGTTCGAGATTAACTGCTTGACTTCTTCAGAACGTTCTAATATATTTTTGTATCCTACTTTTATGACGCTTCATTCCGAACAATAATTTTAGTTACTATTTATAGATGCTCAGTCTATGGTCATGGTCTTTTTTATTTGATGACTTTTTATTTGTAGTTTCTTTTGAAAATATTCTTTTAAACAGTTTTGCCTTGCTGATGTCTGTGAACTGCACACAGTCATTGTTTATTGTAACATGGTTTCAGCTTTATCACCAGCGATTGTGGTGTTGCGAATAAACGTTTAGCCGTCACAGCACTCAGAAAAGGTGAGTTCGATTTCCAAGTTCGGACTTTTTGGGTTATATTTTTTATAATTATTATAATTATTAGTACCAGTATTATTATTATTATCATTATCATTATGATTATATTATAATCATGACATATTATTATCATTATCATTGTTATTATTATCATCATCCTCATCATCATATTCATTATTTTTATTCATCGAGTATCTCCGTCTGTCTTCTGGGACGCTGTATCGCTCTCAGCCCGGACTGGCTCTTACTGGCATGGTCAACGTTGCACATACCCCTCAATGATCTAAACAGTGCGGATGGGACGTAAAACACCAACGGTTACAATTACAATTGAATCAGAACAGGTCATATATCGAGGAGTATGCCGTTCTCCGATTTTACTTAACCAAGTTGTCTTGGAAACTCCTAAAGCAGTACAAGTTCAAAGAATGCCCTAGATGGACTCGATCTGAGGCATTCTGCACCACAGTACAGCATTATATCAACTGAACTGAGGGCGCGGGAGGTTGGTAGATTTGCTCCTTCTTTCCTATCCAACATCTACAGTTTTTATCTCCCCTCCTTCTTTCTTGTGTTTGACATTCTTTTGTAACAGCTCTAATCTTCTGCACTTATATGACCTTATTGTGTTTTAGGTGCCGTAAAACCCTTACTAAAACTGACCGAACTGAGGGCGTGCTCTATAAACTGAGATACAAATAGCTATACAGACGTAGGAACCTACATGTCTTGTGAAACTATACGAGTCTTCAGTTTGAAGGTAGAAGAAAACCAAGCAGTCTTCTTCAACCTCTTACTTTTTGTGTGTTTTTACATGAAATCATATGAGCGCGCGGGGACACACGAAACATTTTCAGTTGGTAGGAAATTTTGAATTTTGCCCGGGTGCCGGCCAAAGCCTACTCTTATCGATTTTAGACCACCAAGGAATCTTTAACGTGCGCAACTTGGAAACGAGAGGGCTAGGTGTAGATCTTTCCTACCAGAAGATCATGGGTGTGGCTGAAAGACAACAGTAAGAAGGAGCCAAGGAGTAGCAGTAGAAAGGCTGCAGAAAGAGTCAGGAGCCCAGAGGAGGGGGAAAAAGGAAGTGAGGGAGTGAGGCCAATAAAGATAAATGTAATGTCTTGGGGTGATCACTTTGCAAGGACAGTATCGATGGGGTTGTTTTTTTCTTTCAAAGTGATAGCACAATCATCTCATTAGAATTCTATTTACTGCTTGTTGGGTGAATTTCTGACACTTAAGAATTAGAAACATAATGTGTCTCGCTATAAAGTGTTTCTATGTTTCATAGGAAACTCTCAGACTTTGTACCGACGAGAGTGAACACTACGAACAAACCCGTGTTGTGCAGTTTGTTTCGAACTTGTCTAATACATGATGTCAAGGGTTCAGATAACAGCAAGGCCTAATTTACTTTCGTATTTCCAGCGTATGTTTTACGTAAGGAAAAAGTTCTAACTGGGAAGCCACAATTTAACCTTTGAAATAATGCACTTAATGTCTGATCAGCTTGTAAGCTCAATGCTAGAATATTTTAATATGAAAAAAAATGAGTCCAATGCTACATTTAGCGTCAAAAAGTAACTTAAGTTGGACTTCTTACTCTATTTTTATCTTCGACAGGATCGACCCAAGTAAGCAAAGTACCTTGAACATTCACTAGAACAATCAAGGTTTATAAACACCACTTGGGATTTGAAGTAATATCACAAGGGCCAACTGAGACATGCATGTACAGATCGTAAGACTATCCGAAAAACAAACAACGAAGACTTTGCACTCTTTGCCATACAAGCTTTTCAAACAGAAACTTAAACATAATACATTATACAAAATCTTTATTTATTTTATATCACTTGTATTGGAAAAAGCGCACCCACGACCACCAAAAGAGAATGCCGTTTTGTTTTTCCTCCAAGAAACCTGAGTTATGAAAGGTAGCTCATTACTGCTATTTAGTGTAAGCAAGACCTTTATGATGTTTGTTCTTTAGCATAAGTATTTACTGAGTAGTATCCATTTCTGAATCAACCTTCTAGGTAAGTTTATCTTTCATGTGTTCTGATTGGTTATGGTGTAATTGTCTCCAAAACGTTACGTTGTATCCATAATATTATGTCGGTGACAGCACAGTTTTTGTGCTATAAAAACATTCTTTAAAAACGACGTTTATGCAGTGCACTATAAAATATATGTGTGTATGTGTGGGGTGGAAGAGGGGAGGGGGGTCTGGCAAATGAGGAGCAAAGTTAAGTACTTTTTGTGTGCTCAGTCTGCTATCTCGAGACTAGCGGATGGAGGAGAGCTATACAATAATGTGTCTCCACGTGGTGGAATCAGGCGCTCGTCAGTTTTGGGGCATACGGGGTTATTGGTATTATCTTAAAGCCTGTTTTTTGCCTTCCTTCAAGTGAAAAAAATATTCATTTATTTCGAATAGAAGTCGAAATATTTGCAATGGAAGGAGGCTAGGGTCGTCTGGTTTCAGAGGTAAAATTAGAGAGAAAAAGGCGGCCAAAGTTAAGTAACTTCCATTGCCTGAGAGTTCTTGGAAACTAAAAATGTACATTGTTGTGCCTTAAATCAATGTCTTTCAGTAAAATCCACACAACAATGTGTTTTAAAATGGGCATAAAAGGTATTAAGCCAAAAAATGAAAAGAAATGAAGAAAAAAATTGCCCATCGGCCAAAAAAATGCCAATTTCTTTGACTTCATTATTTTGACGAGCCCCTGATTTCAACACAATGCATCCCATATAAGGAAACACGACATGCTGTGATTGTAAAGCATTAACATTTATGGGATATTTGTTAAGCAAAGTGCAGATGCCATTCATCAAATACAATAAAACAGATACATAATATATCAAGTATCTTTTCCTTTGATTAAAATGCTAAGGTATCAAGCCCACAGCTATTATTTTGTTCTTGTCGATTTACTGATATACATCGACTTACTCGAAATGTTGTTTTTGATTATAAAATATTTACTCAGAGTTTTGTTCCACTTCCACAGCCTTTTCTGAAAAACAAACAAACAGGCCATAGCCACGATAAAGGAATGCAGTTATAAGTACCAAAGAACGACACATCCTAATGATTTCCTTTATGGAAGATTAAGCATAACCAGCTAATATAAAGTATAAAGATCATCGGCTTAAGTTACAGAAATTGATGTTCGTAAAACGCATTGACGTCATTTCTGCCTGTTTATGGGAAATATAATATTTTAATACATGTGAGGCATCGTGGTGAAATCAGGCTCTCGTAAAAATTATAATGAAATTAAAGAAACCGCCCCCCCCTCCCCCTCCCCCATGGTAGTTTGCCACTTGTTTGTTTTTTTCGGATCGGGAGGGGAGGGGGGGGGGGGTCAACGCCTTTGACTGCGTTTAAAACACATTTCTGTGCTCGATTTACTTAAAGGACCCTCAAGTTTTGGAAGGCATCAAATTATGGCGGCCATTTTCCAGCTAATTTTACATTGGAATCCTGGCGACTCTCCCCACCCCAAACCCCACCCCCAACTTCATCAATAGCAAAATCACTGGGTTTTTATTCAAGATAGCTGGGTACAACTTCATCAAAAGAAAGACAAACTTAAAAAGAAAAAAACGAGCGCCTGATTTCACATATGTGAGGCAGCGTGGTGGAATCAGGCACGCGTCAAAATAATCAAAATGAAGAAACTAGCCTTTTTCCGCAGGTTTGTGAATTTTTTTTTTTTTTTTTTTTTTTTTGGCTCAACACCTTTCATGCCCATTAAAGAACTTATTTCTGTGTGGATTTTTCTGAACAACATTGATTAAAGACACATAGAATGTAAATTTTCAGTTAAAGCGGACTCTTGAGCTAAAGAATTAACTAACCTTTGGCTACTTTCTCACTAATTTTACCTCTAAAAACAGGTGACCCGATCTTCTTTAGTAAATATCTCGACTTGTATTCAAGATAAATGGATACTTTTTCATCCAAATAACAAGTGAACACACTTTAAGATGATACCAATGACTCTACTTGCCCAAAAATTGACAAGAACCTGATTCCACCACGCTGTCTCACTTATTGACTCTGCCTGCTGTCGTTATAATAATGTGCCGATCATTAATTAGACATCAAGCGCTTTGTCCACAGCAATGGAATTTGGATTTGACTTTCGCCGTGTAGGGGTCATCCTGGGGTCACTGTGATCGTCTGCAGATGGAGCATTGGCAGCTGCGAGCAGACTTGAAGGTCTTCTGCTGGAACCCACTTCTGCATGCGACCCACACTTTCACCTGTAAAATAATGTTGTTGTTTTTCTATTTTATTCAATATTTGCTGTTTTGTTTTTAAGGAAGGCAACATGTTTTATGACACAACAGAGGTAATTAATTGTGAAAGCTGGCGCTGTTGGGTGGCATCTAATTCCGTTGCTTTTTTTAAGGATGGTCTAAGTTTCAAATGTAAGCACACATACATACACAAAGACACACACACACACACACTACCCTTCCCCCACAAAACACACAAATACACATAATATAAACATTCACACGCATCCCCCTTCTCTCTCTCTCTCTCTCTCTCTCTCTCTCACACACACACACACATACACACACACACACGCACACACAACACACACACACACACACACACACACACACACACACACACACGCACACAACACACATACTCACACACACACACACACACAGACTCTCACAAATAAAAATATTCTGTGTTATTTCTGTCTAGATGCGAAAAGCTTTCGGCTCAATCAATAGTAAACCAATGATACTTTCTTATTGTTCAAGTTGTTTTGATTTCGAATATAACATTGTTTATGGCCTTAATAAAATAAAGTTATGCATCTCACTAACCAAAAACAAACAAAACACACAAACAAACAAACAAGAATAAAAAACAAACAAAAAACAGAAAAAAACTAAACTAAAAGAAAAAAAAGAAACCAAATAAAAACTGAAAAGCCTTGTTCGAAGCTACACACACACTCTCCAGCAACTTAAATTATTAAAGAATGATGATGGATTCCGTGACTGGCCTAGCAACCCGACGGCGGATATGAGTAAGTCATGCTACAACGCTTAACGGCAAACGAAGATGAAAAAGTAAAAGTAAGTAAAGATGATGGATTTCTTTTGCCTCAACATCTTATGGGATCAAGGAATCAACAGGACGGGACAGACAACTCTGCAATCAGTTTATTATTAACACTTTGCCTTCACAAGGTTCATATAGTAAAAGCTCTTGCCATCAAAGGCAAGGGCATTTTGGGGAAAATCCAAAGAAACTGGATGGTAAACATTGCCGATCAGCGAGATGTGATGGCAACGTGTTAAAGATTTAACACTCCTACTTTGACCCACTAAGCTTATTAAGTGGGATTATCTCTGTTTGTTTGTTTGAACGACGATGTGCACATTGTAAGAATAACGGTCATGTAGTGCAGCAGGGAAAACAATAAGTCGAAAAGAAACAACAGAGGGCGGAAAGAAAGATGTAGGACTTACAAGTGGCGCCCCCAACGAACCGTTTGATCTCTTTCGAATCAACGATCAACATTTTTCTATTTATTTTTTTTCTAGGCGTTTCTAAAGAATTCATACTAGGAAAATTCCCATCAAGAGATTCGAGCTTGGATTGTAAGAAACCTAACGAAACATACTTTAAAACTCATCTGTGTCGTACCCATGAGAGAGGCAATTCACATGAATACTAAAAGGTCAAACAGTGCAGTGTTAGGAAATACGTAACACAGATTTATCACGTGCCGTGTACGGGTATGTGATGAAGATAATGTGAATAGTGCAATAATCAATGGTAGGAGCGCTACAATGATTGGACCGGCATATTGATTTGTATATTACAATAAAATATAGATATAACAAGTTAGCCCCCTAACACAACGCAATTATATAAAATAGATTGATATTTCTGTGGTGTGAAATAGAAAACGTCTGCAGTTATTTATTTACCCTCCTTCTAAATAACGTTATCCCTAGAAATGTGTCAATGTGGTAACATATTACGATTTATGAGCTATTCTGATCTTTTCCATTATGTTGTGATTAGATTGTCCAGGTGATCTGCAGTTCGCGAGATGAGTGCTACCTAGTAACAACTGCAGTTTCCCACCTGTGCAAGTCTGTGTCACAGCTGTCTGTTGAGTACATTAGTACCCTGAGCTATTATTTCCCCTGTTTCGAACAATTTCAGTACACTCTGTACCATATTTTGTACTTAGTCCCGTTTTTACAGCTGGAATTGAGTCTACTGGTCTGGCTCGTAATCGTGAGGTTGCGGGTTCGGGGGTCGAGCAACAGGCCCGAAGTTGTGTTCTTGGGCAAGGCACTTTACACGAATTTTCCTCACTTTACCCAGGTGGAAATGGGAAACTGGCCATAGACAGCGAAAGATCTTGTCAGTATGTAAGTGTTTTAGCGCCTATAAATGGCTGCTTGCACTGTATGCTTTCCAGGAAGCTGAGGTTGTTTCAGAATGCTCTTAGGTATGCTGGGGTAATAGTATAGATTGTGAAGCACCTAGAGCTGCTGTTGAGTGGGGATTTGCGCTATACAAATGTGAGGCAGCGTGGTGAAATCAGGCTCTTGTCAAAATAATCAAAGTGAAGAAACCTGCATTTTTCTGCAGGTTTAAGAATTTTTATCAAATGGTTGTTTTTTTTAAACTCAGAACCTTTCATGCCCATTAAAAAGTCATTTATGTGTGGATTTTTCTGAAAAACGTTTCTTAAAGGCACAAGAAATGTTGATTTTCAGTTACCACGGACTCTTAAGCTAAGCAAATAACTAATCTTTAGTGGCCATTTCCTCACTAATTTTACCTCTGAAAACAGGTGACCCCCACCTCCTTCTTTCTTAAATATCTCGACTTGTATTCAAGATAAATGGATATTTTTCATTCAAATAAAGACAAGTGTACAAGCTTTAAGATGATACCAATAACTCAACATGCCCAAAAATTGACGAGAGTCTGATTCCACCACGCTGTCTCACAATTGCTATCTATTATTGTTATTATTATTATTTTTAAAAAAACAACATTTCGACGCAATAACGGTCATTTAGAGCTCGGAAAAAGTAAGACAGACATGTAGAAACAACAGAGCAGAGAAAGAAAAGATGTAGTAGGGCCTACCTACCAGTGGCGCCCTCTAACCACCCGCGTTTTCAAAGTCATTGACGTCAAAACCGGAACATTTTAGTTAGTACAAGACAGCACTAAGCATGTTCAACCAGATAGGGTCGAGATGCTGAAATGTTTCTCTCGCCGGCTGATTGAGGAGGAAGATAGGGAGGCAGAGGCCAGTACTGTTGTGGAGAGTAAGATGTTTTTGGGAATACAAAAATGGAAGCGGAAAATCGGACATCCTTGCTGTAAAGAACAGAAGAAAGTTCAACCAGATACGCACAGGTACAATCAGTGGAAAGAACCTCGGCGACATTTTGGAGAAAGCAACGGAGCATCAATGGACATGTCCGGAATACAGGGATGTTGCTTCCTGAAACAAAGAACAATGAACAATGAACAATGAACAATGAACTAAGCACGTGGGTTGCTTACGTCATGGGTGTCCACAATCCCACAGCACTCAGCCCTGGAGGTAATGACAAAGTTCCGGTTGACTGCCAAGGTGTGACTAGGCGATGGTATGGCGTAAGAGACACAGAAGCCTCTGCAGGCGTTGGTGGTCACCTCAAAGGACACACAGCCAGGGATGGACACAGTACGAGTGTGCCCTGGGGGAAGAAACAAGAATCGAAAAAGGAACAAGGAGTTCTTTATTCATTTGTTTACATATTTTCCTTTCTTTGTTATTAACTCAAACTTACAGATTACATTATTATACCACGTGATTCCTTCTGGAGGTACAACAGACCATAAACTTTGTATTCATGCAAACTGGGCATAAGTAGTTATATCGTTATATATATTTAAAAAGGTTAACCTTCCTTTTCTCACTCCAATCACCATCTATCTATAACTATGGTTATCAGAAACTCCCTGACATTTCCATCTGAACCGAATGATTCGAAATCTTCCACCCCCTCTCCTCCTCCTCTTCTTCTTCTTCTTCTTCTTCTTCTTCTTCTTCTTCTTCTTCTTCTTCTTCTTCTTCTTCTTCCTCCTCATCCTCCTCCTCCTCCCTTTCTTAATCCCGCCTCCCTCATCCCATTTCAATCACATAATCAACTATCCATTTTCACGGCATCGCCGAAGATTCAGATCGACATTCCAAAATCCAAACCAAGAACGCAAACAATCTCCCACGCCCGCCTGCTGAAGTCGTGAACAAATTCTTCCCTTTCCCCAAAAGTAAATGCAATTAATGGAAATTATAGATGAGCCAAGGGAGGCTACTGTCCAGCTTTGATGGTCTCACGAGAAGGTTGTGTCCCCTCACGTTCTGGTGACAGAAATACGGCAGACGGTGTGAAACGAAATAGGTAGGCTTTTGCTTGCGTTTAAGAGTGCATTATTGATATCAGGCAATCGCAAGAGCCCATTAGTTCACTCGGGTGAATTGTGGGGCGGGGG